AAGAAAGGTAAAAGAATAGCAAAGAAACAGCACTAACAAAGTTTAGACACATAAATTTTGAAGGTCTAGCTACCATATTATTACCCACAAGGGTAAAGGAACAGTACCACTGCTGGATAATTGGAAAGTCCCTGTGTGTCAACCTCTGTGCTTCGTGGCAAGGTAGACTAGCAAAACATGCCCAACCTTTACTCACATTCGAGAAAACAGTCCCAACAAGATTGCTTGCTCCAAAATCGAAGAGGCACCGTCTTCCGAATCTCGAGAGCCAGACTCCCAACATGACTACTTTCTCAAAATCGAAGAGAGGGTAAAGGAACAGTACCATTGCTGGATAATTGGAAAGTCCCTGTGTGTGTCAACCTTTGTGCTTCGTGGCAAGGTAGACTAGCAAACATGTCCAACCTTTACTCACATTCGAGACAACACTCCCAACAAGATTGCTTGCTCCAAAATCGAAGAGGCACCGCCTTCCGAATCTCGTGAGCCAGACTCCCAACATGATTACTTCCTCAAAAATCGAAGAGACACTGCTCTCCGAATCTCGAGAGTCAGACCCCCAGCATGATTGCTTTCTCAAAAATCGAAGAGGCATCGTTCTCCGAATCTCGAGAGCCAGATACCACAGACCACTTTTTCAAAGTGCTCTGACAGAGTTAAAACATGTGAAAACTGGCAGCTCCCACTACCGTGCTATGACCAAGCAGGGGTAAAGGAATAGCATTACTACTTGTTGTTAGGGAGACTCCTATATATGTCGACCTCCATCCCCAACGGACAGGCAGACCTGCAAAAAATGCTCAACCCTTCATCATATCTGAGAGGGCACTCCCAACAAAGCCTTTCGAAATATTCAGCTTTCTTTCCCCCCGATAATACCTCTGCAAACAAGCTATACTAGAGCAAGAATATCTCATATCATCAGGGTTAAAAGCAAGAGTATCCCATATCATGCTTTTTCCCTGTTTTTTCTTTTGGCCTTGTTTTTACCTGCAAGACAAGGAGAAAGAGAGCAATCAGTCAGTACTTGGAATCAAGCTTCCAGCCAGGAACTGACTGCCTGGAACCCCTTACCTGATTACTTACCTGGCATTGCTCTCGAGTACTCATCTTCATCATCTTTCAGGGAAGATTCCGCATCTGCTTGAGGAACAGATAGGGCAAGTGCGAAGGATACAAGGAAGCATGTGGAGACAAGCGTAACAGCACACGTGCCGATACATCCATTACTCTGTCAAAAGCAAAAGTATCCCATATCAGCAGGGTGGAACGTACTCTAGATTTGATGGACTTGTTTTGACCCTCAAATTTTTCAGTTCAGTCGCCTTATACTCTGGAGGAAACCAGAAAAACCCTCCAGCTCAGTTCAAGAATAAGCCTGTGGAAAGTTACTTCTTCAAAAGCAAAAGTATCTCATATCATCTCTTCTCATTTTTCTTCTCTTTATCCTTCATGCTGCTGCAAGATGGGGAGAAGGTGAACAATCAGTCGGAGCTCTGATTGCTTACCTTGTCTGTCACCTCTTTCAGCAGACCCCCTAGCTCGGCGACTTGGGGGACTCCTACTACATGGTTTGTATCGCGCTTGACCAAGCCTGAAACTACAAGTAAGCTTCAAGTGAAATTGATACATTACCTTGTGCATCTCCACCAGTTAAAGATACCACCCCTGGATGGAGGAAGAGTACTTCCAGAGAAGATGCCACATCTACCTATGAGACAGATAAGGCAAGTCAAGACGACACCACACTCCGATACTTAGAAGTTTCGTGATTACGAGATCATTATCCCACAATATTTCCTAATGTCATTTGTACTAAATCATTCACTCGTACTCACTAAAGGAGAGCTTGAACCTATGTACTTGTGTAAACCCTTCACAATTAATGAGAACTCTTCTATTCCGTGGGTAGCCAATCTGGGTGAACCACGTACATCTTGTGTTTGCTTTCCTATCTCTATCCATTTATATATACTTATCCACACTAATGACCGGAGCAATCTAGCGAAGATCACAAAAAGCGACCGTTTTCGTTACCTAGGATCTATCTTGCAAGAGAACGGAGAATTAGATGGAGATCTCAACCATAGAATACGAGCTGGATGGAAAGAGTGCATCCGGCGTGTTGTGTGACCGTCGTAGGCCACTGAAGCTCAAGGGAAAATTTTATAGGACGGCAATAAGGCCAGCGATGTTGTATGGCAGAGAGAATGTTGGGTGGTGAAGCATCAACACGTACACAAAATGGGTGTGTAGCGGAGATGAGGATGCTTCGTGGGATGTGTGGGCACACGAGAAAGGATAAGATTGGGAATGAGGATATCCGAGGTAAAGTAGGAGTAGCCGAAATTGTAGGAAAGATGAGAGAAAATCGGCTCTGGTGATTTGGACATTTGCAAAGAAGGCCGACTGACGCTCCGGTTCGAAGATGTGACTACGGGACAGAGGTTCAGGGCCGAAGGGGTAGAGGAAGACCTAGGAAAACTTTGGAAGAGACTCTAAGAAAAGACTTAGAGTACTTGGATCTAACGGAGGGCATGACACAAAACCGAGCGCAATGGCGTTCTAGGATTCATATAGCCGACCCCACTTAGTGGGAAAAGGCTTTGTTGTTGTTGTTGTTGTTGTTGTTGTATTGAATAATAAGGTACAAAATTTTGTGACTAACATACATTAGAAGTCAAATTGCACATATGAGTCTTCATATTTGCCTTTGATGTTGTTGAACCCCTATCCAATATATACATTTATTTTTCAGGATTTATTCACGGCCGGAACAGACACAAATGCAATTGCACTAGAATGGGCGTTGGCAGAGCTCATCAATCACCCAATGCTGCTCGAGAAAGCGAGGGAGGAGATCTATCGAGTCATCGGGAATAAGCGACTCGTCGGAGAACCGGACGTGCCAAATCTTCCATACCTCCAAGCCATCATAAAAGAAACATTTAGGCTACACCCACCAGCGTCTCTGGTCACAAGAAAAACTGTACAAAAAAGGTTGGAGGGTATGACATCCCAACAAATACCATGTTGTTTGTGAATGTTTGGGCCGTTGGAAGGGACCCGAAGATCTGGGACTGTCCATTGGACTTTTGGCCTGAAAGATTCCTACAACAAGGTACGGACAACCAGGTGAATTCAGTAGATGTGAGAGGGCAACATTTTCAACTGCTTCCTTTTGGGTCTGGGAGGAGGGTGTGCCCTGGTGTGAACTTGACCATGAAAATGCTACCGGGGGTACTTGTAGCTATGATCCAGTGCTTTGATTGGCAGGTTGTCGGGTCCAGTGCTTTGAGGAGGAAGACCTTATCCACCCGTACAATCCACCACTTTTGTTACCCCTTATGTTTTTGTCGGGTCCAGTGCTTTGAGGGGGAAGACCTTATCCACCCGTACAATCCACCACTTCCATTACCTCTGATGTTTTTCACCATAATATTATGAATAATGTGCTGTAATGTGTGTTTTCATTTGTATTCTAATCAAGAAATCTTCCGTTTTCCATATGCAAGGTCAATTGATCATTACCATTATTGTTTTCTTTATGATTTGCTGCCTTTGGTGGGGTGGCTTTCTCCTCATTCAGCTTGATGGCTTGGACAGAACATGATTAATCCCTTCCGACCAGACAGTGTAATGCCCTCCAAACGAAGAGGCTCGAGGCATAGTTATGGAAGAAAAAGAAGAGAAATCTCAGGCTGTAAGCCATAACCAGCAGGGCGAGTCGGAAGCTCTGTTGGCCAATTAATCTGCAGAGAACTTGTTCTCCCTATAAATGTGGGGGGAGTTTCTGTTGCTAACTCTGATCAACAGATGAGGGTGTAAAGAGGGTCGAGTCTGCCAGAGTCAATATCAAGCACTATACATCTAAAACTTGTCCAGCTGTCCTCTAAGCCAATTGCTGCTTGGAAAAACAAACTCTGTAACTCTGCAGAAACCATAGGGGCGTCCCAATCCAAGAGGCCGTCAGTTCTGGTGAGTTTAGAGCCCAACGATGTGTTGGAACGCCTCCACTCTTGAGCATAAGTTCAGATCACATTCTAGCGGCATGCAGGGGGAATACATCATCAGTACCAAGGAGTCGCAGATTCCTCCATCTCCACAAGAACCAGAAGCTTAATCCAAAAGTACCTGACCCCAATTCAAATCACATTAGAGGATCCCCAAGTTTGAAAAGTACCAACACTAACATGAGCTTAATAAAATAAGCAGGGGATTGGTTATTTCTTCAGCTACAATGTCTGCATAATTTTACAATCGGAAGAGAGATTACATATATATATGTCCGCATAATTTTACAATTGGAAGAGCATTTTATAATATATATATATATATGTATGTATGTATGTATCAGGGGAGAGAGAGGAGAGAGAGAGAGAGAGAGAGAGAGAGAGACTCACAAAACATTGAAGGGATTGATTTGTCTTCAAAAGTCAGCTTTCAGGCATAACATGGTCACGTACAAACTAATAAATAACCTATAGAATACATCCATGGTCTACAAAGGGGAGTTTTGCTGTTGAATCTCTCCACAAACTTATAGGAATTTGCTACAAACTTTCCCCTGTTGTTGACATGCTTGGCTTTCTTTTTTTCTGCCAAGTAATTTCACATTGCTGTACTCGTAAAATAAATCAACTAATTGCTTCAGCAACCAATATAAATTTACATAGCTACTGTAGACAACCAACATTCTAAGTCCCAAAACTGTCTCCATCCAAAATTGCAAACCAATCAGCCCTCAACTTCCCCAGATGCAAAAACATGCCAGAGTCTTACTAACATATGCAATTGTTTCCACGTAATATGATGTATAAGAATGTTTCTACCAAGCACTATAGCTAAGCATATGAAAATACTAAAATGCTAAACTTTGCGGCGCAATCAAACAGACATTATGTTTCCACATGAATAATCTAGATCATATATAATAATACATCCACAGTTATCAAAGGTGCAACAGGTTCTAGGTTCATTGTGTTAGTAAGAAGGCTCACTTTCATATTTCAAAGATGCAAATCAACTTCATCACGATCATTCAATCAATGTCAACAAAGCAGGATGTACATCATCTTTAGACTGTAAATCAACTATCAATTCCACAGTTGATGCATCTGCAGAAAAACCCATCTCCACCATTTGTTGAATAAGTCCCATCGCTCGAAATGTCTCATTGTTACTGATAAAGCCCCGGATAATTGTGTTATAGGTGCAGTTATCTGGAGAACAGCCTTTCTCTTCCATTTCTTTAAACAACTTTTCTGCTTCATTTATCAGCCCCTCATTACAAAGTCCACTGATCATTATATTATATGTCCAGACATTCGGTTGGAGTCCTCTTGATGATAAACTGCAAAAGAGATTCCTTGCACAATCAATTTTTCCAGCTATGCTTAAACCTTCAACAAGAATATTGTAAATCACAATATCCAGACCCAACTTCTTGCCTTCCAGCTCTCTCAAATATTCCATTGCCAATGAAAGTTTTTGGTTTTTACATAGGCCATCCAGTAAAATAGCATAAGTCCGAAGGTTTGGAAGGTCTCCACAAGCTTTCATCTGATAGAACAAGTTTTGTGCATCCTGTATCCTCCCCACTTTGCAAAAACCATCAATAAGAGTGTTATAACTAATGGTATCTGGAGAGAGTCCCTTACAAGACATTTCCTTAAAGAGCACCATTGCCTCATCTATCCTTTTACGCTTACAATATCCATTAATTAATATGTTATAACTATAAGCATCAGCCACGAACCCCTTGTTGAGCAATAGTTCAAAAACTTTTTTCGCCTTGCCCATTTCTCCTCGCAAACAGTAACCATCCATTATTGAATTGTATGTAATCGTATTAGGTTCAATATCTCCTTGAATCATCATTTCAAAAACGTTGTTTGCTTCCTCAATCATCCCTTCCTTACAAAGTGCATCAATGAATACACTGAAGGTGTGCGCATCTGGAAAGATACTTTTACTCACCATTTCCCTCAACAATCTCGTAGCTTCTTTCCACTCCCCTAATCTACAAACTCCATTAATCAAAGAGGTATAGGTAATGACATTCGGGGCAATACCCTTACTTACCATTTCTGAGAAGATGTTCAATGCATCCACAAGTAGTGTATCCTTACAAAGACTGTCGATGATTGTGCTATAGACAACTAAGTCAGGCCTGCAACCTCCTTCTTCCATCTTCTTAAGCAACTGAATAGCTGCATTGTTGTTACCTTTCATGCAAAGGCCCTTTACTAGCGTGCCAAAAGTAATCACATTGGGCTTACAATTACCACTCTCCATCATTTTCTTGAAAAGTCCGGCAGCCTCAGCCACTCTATCCTCAAGAAGAAAGCCATGGATTAGGGTGTTGAAGGTGGCCGCATCTGGTTCAAAACCAAGCTTGAAGAACTTTCCCAAGACAGATAAACCAAACCCCATTTGGTTTAGATGACAAAAGCAATTAATGACAATAGCTAGAGTAAAAGCATCAGCACCAATTCCGGACGCACCCATTTGGTTACTCAACGAGACCGCGGCCGAATAATGTTTGAATTTCGCAACTTGACTCAATATTTGAGTGAAACGCACAATGGAAGGCAGAGGACGCCATTGAAGCATTTCGTCGAACACATTGAAGGCATCTTCAAGATTAGTGACTTTGGCAAGCTGGCGTTGTTGGGTTTTTGTACATTTGACTGGTTGCGCAGACCGAGAGTGAAAGGTAGCTGAGTAATCGTTGGCGACAGCAACAAGAGAGGATTGAAGAGGACAAGGCATACCTCTGAGTCTGCTTCCATAACAAGAAGAAGAAGCAGTAAACCGCATCATCTTGAGCACCATCTTCAGCGTCTGTGTTAGTGAATGAGTGTCTTCAGCCAACCTTCAACTGGGTTCCGACAAAACTATGCTTTTCTTTTTCCCGTTGCATTTGATACAAGGAAAGTTAAATTCTTTTATTTTAAGTTCACTCAACCAATTTTATCAAATAAAATTCACCCAACAAAAGAACCTGAACGGTTGCACACCTCTCCAAATTTGCCCTTTCTTTTATTTTACTACAACTTACTGGTATTTTTATGCACTTGTAAATAAAATAAAAGATCTTAAATTCGATTATCATCGTAAGAGAATTTGAATCACATTATCATTAGCTCATTGTGCAGCTTAATCCATCCTCCTCCCCATACATAATATCGTTTTTTCACATATAATGTTGTTCTTACCATGTTTATCATAATTGAACAGCCACATTATGTAAATTAATTAACATTTAATTTAAAAACTATTTAATTAATCTTTAATAAAAATACAAAAAATAAAGATTTAACGATTTTTAAAAAAAAAAAGTTACATCAAAACAAATTCGAATACAAATTGGAGAGCAATTTGAGCCTAGTAAAGTTGCCGGGGAGCTCTTAGTTTCAATCTGTTTTCCTTTCTTGTTCCCGCGTCCAATGTCCCATTCAAGAGCCAAATCGATCAACCTTTTCCGCCATTGCAGCAATCCCCTGCAATCCCATCACCAGCCGTATCACACTTTCCGCCCCAACAAACCCAAGACCACGAACCCTCGCCGCCGCGAACGACTTCACAGAGACACCACCAAGCTCCGCAAGCCGATACCTTTCGTCTCCGATGTCAAAGAAATTCAAGACCCAGAAGAAGCCTTCTTACTCTGCTCTTCTCTAAAAGCTCGCTCGCAGCCGGAATTTCGACGCCGTCTACGCTGTTCTCGGCCACGTCCAAGATCGAAACATTCATTGTAAAGATACCCTTTTCATTGCTCTGATTCGACATCATGGGAAAGCCGATTTGGTAGACAAAGCAGTTGATTTTTTCATCAAATGCCTTCTTTTAACTGTGTCCGTACGTTGCAGTGCTTCAATGAGCTCCTTAATGTGCTTGTTGATTGTGGTAGGTTTTCCGATGCGGGTGAGATATTTGCGAGGTGTTCTAAATTGGGTTTTCGTCCGAATTCGATTTCGTATAATATAATGATCAAAGGTTGGCTTCAGAAGGGTGAGTGGGAATAAGCATGCAAGGTGTTTGATGAAATGCTTGACAAAAAAGTGCAATCTAGTGTTGTGACGTATAATAGTCTTATAGGGTTTTTTGGTAGAAAGGGTGAGTTGGAGAAAGCTAGTGGTTTGTTTGAGGACATGAGACAGAAAGGGAAATACCCGAATGCGGTGACATATGCATTATTGATGGAAGGTTTGTGCTTGGTTGGACAGCATGATGAAGCGAAGAAGATGATGTTTGATATGGAGTATCGAGGATGTAAACCACGGCTTGTGAATTATGGTGTATTGATGACTGATCTTGGAAAGAGAGGGAAGATTGAGGAGGCAAAGTCTTTCCTTCAAGAGATGAAGAAGAGACGGTTTAAGCCAAATGTTGTCATTTATAACATATTGATTAACTTTCTGTGCAAGGAAGGCAGGGCTACAGAGGCTTACAAAGTCCTTGGTTGAAATGCAAGTTGGAGGCTGTGAGCCGAATGCAGCTTCATACAGGATGATGGTTGATGGGTTTTGTCATACTGAAGATTTTGAGGGAGGTTTGAAGGTTTTGACTGCAATGTTGGCTAGTAGACATTGTCCTCGTTTAGATACATTTGAATGTTTAGTTACGGGCCTATTAAAGTGTGGGCAGATCAATGATGCTTGTTTGTATTGGAGGAGATGGAAAAGAGAAATATGCAATTTCATTTGGAAGCTTGGGAAGCTCTAGTTGTGGGTGCTTGTGGTGAGGATATTGTTGCAGGTGACGTTGCAACTGATCTAGGCTCTGCACATTAATAGTTATCAGGGAAGAGATGATCACACAGCATTTGGAAGCTTGGGATGCTCTAGTTGTGGGTGCTTGTGGTGAGGATATTGTTGCAGGTGATGTTGCGACTGAACTAGGCTCTGCCCATTAATGGTCATCAGGGAAGAGATGATCACACGGCATTTTGTCATGACTTCTGTAGCTGTTTCCACAAGAGGGTCACACTGCCGCTTGGCCCTCATAGAGCAAGTGGAATGGTGGATTTTGGGTCATGGGGGGCTTCTGATGAGATTTTTTTTCTGTGGTCTTAGGCACTTGAAGCTCTATTCTGTGATACTTCATACTTGTGAGAAAACAGTGGTTAGGTTTGCATGTAAAACAACTAAGCTATGCGCATTGTGCACTCATGCGGCTTCAGGGAGAAGAGGAGTTTATGAATCGAAACATTCATCAATACTATGGATTGTTATTGCCAACTCAATGTCTCAGGAAGCTCACTATGCTTGTTCGAGGTCAAGTAGGCATGTAAACTGAGCTAATCTATGACCACTGTAGGGTTCAGGGAAGAGACGGAAGTTTTGCGCAAGAGTCGAATCGTCGATAGGAAGTCAAGTTTCTGGGGGATGCTCTAGTTGATGATGCTTGTGGTGCAAACAGAGGTTTTTGTCATTTATGTTATTTTATTTGTTGACACCAGCTCTAAAGGTCGCACTTGGTGCGATGGCAAGTGCCTTCGCCCATGAGCGGTAGATCTCGGGTTCGAGATTTGGGAGCAGCCTCTCCATAATTGGGGGTAAGGCTAGCCGACATTCACCTCTTTCAGACCCTGCGTAAAGCGGGAGCCTTGTGCACTGGGTACAACCTTTATTTGTTGACACCAGCTCTATTTAATTTTCAGTGGAAAATATAAGGCGTGAGCAAAGCCTCACATAACTTATAATTATTAATGTATATTATGTATATAATTATATATATATATTTATATACATATAATCAATGTTAGAGTCAAAATCAAACATTATAGAAGAATAATCAACCACCAAATAAAAAATTTCTTCATGAGAAACCCTAACCTTAAAAAATAAAGCCCCTGCTAACTCTTCTGACGCGTCTCGACCACGCCTAAGCGAGTTTAAGCCTACTCTTGCTGGTAAAGGTGTTTCCTCACCGTCTCACCCTGAAGGTTGCCTAGGCACGCCTCGAGGCTTGTTTTTTACAACTCTGGTTTATATGCAATAAAAAGCTGCCATGTATCTTAGAAATACTTTTATGAAATTACCAGACCAAATGGAGATCACTACGAGCATAATATTAACCCCCAGGGTTATACTTTTTACTCTGTTAATGGATCAAAACTGTAATGGCCTTTCTAATTCGTGTTCAGAAGTAATTATTGATCCAAAGATAATAATAAATAATAATATAATTTTAATTAGAATTAAATTGAAAAGAGAATAGGAGTTGTTCATCTTAACTCCTAAACAAATCCAAATTTTTTAATTAAATTCACATCTAAAACACAAGGCTCAGGTGTTTTAAAGCTCTAACCAACACACCAGTACCAGAAATGCAAAGTCTACCTACTCCATGTTATCAACTCCATCTTATGATTTAAACTTAATCTTCTTAAACTAACATAGTATATATACCCAATAATTCTGTCTTAATTCATCATCAACCCGTCAAACAAAACCTTCTCTCCAGATCATAAGCTGTTCTTCGATTTTCTCCCTTTCCTTCCAATCTCATGGCAACCCGGAAATCGGTTCCCTTGCCCTTCAAGCTCACAATCTGGCTACTTTTTCTAGCCCTTGCCATTCCTTGCGCCACTTGCGCTCGAATCCTCGATGAAGAAAGCCCTGCAGCCCCTGAAGAGCCTGATACAACTCAAACACAAATACCTGTTTCCAATGTGCCACCTCCTCTGGTGGCTACAAATCCAGCAGGCCCTGCTGCAGCTACAAGTGCCACAGTTGGCAACACAGCATCCTACCATCCGCTAACCTTCTTCTTGCATGACATTATCGGAGGATCAAACCCCTCAGCGAGAGCTGTCACTGGAATTGTGGCCAACCCGGCAGTCAGCGGTCAAATCCCTTTTGCCAAACCCAATGGAGCAAACATCCCAATTGGGAATGGCATTCCTCAAAACAGCAACAACAATGGAATCATCAACAACAACAACGTCCCCTTCTTCACCGGCCTTGGTGGAAACACTGGCAACAACTTGGTCCAAAACAATGGTAACAACAACATCATTGGTGGGAATGGGTTTCCGTACATTAACGGGGCTCAGCTCCCTCCTGGAATCACCCTTCAGAAGCTTATGTTTGGGACACTAACAGTTTTCGACGATGAGCTGACTGAAGGGCATGAGCTTGGTTCTGGCTTGCTCGGCAAGGCACAAGGGTTTTACGTGGCGAGTTCTGAAGATGGGAGCAGCCAGACCATTGCATTCACAGCCATGTTTCAGAGTGGTGGTTATGCTGATAGCCTCACCTTCTTCGGTGTGCATCGGGTGGCGGTGTCAGAGTCTCATCTTGCAGTCATGGGAGGAACTGGGAGGTATCTCAATGCAAAGGGTTATGCTCTTGTTAAGACTATTCCTGCAACAAATCAGCCCAACACTGATGGAGTTGACACTGTGCTGGAGTTTACTACGTATCTCACTTACTAGTGTGCTAATTAAGGTAATTTAAAATGTTGTTAATTATGTGTTTTGCTAAAATCTCTGCACTAGAGATACATGTTCAAAAACGATTGTGATTTGAATTACAAAAATGATGGTTATTTACATGAAAATGATGTATTTTTCTCTCTTGAAGTATCTCTTATATCGGATGGGACTAACGTTGGTTACATGAGACTAAAGTACAATGGTCTTATGTTTTTGTGAGAAGTGTCATACGCATGAAACAGTATCCTACAAAGTTTTTCTCCACTTCAAGGCTGATTAGCATATTACCTTGGCTGGAATTTTAGTCAAGTTATTCGAAGTTTTTTAAGATAAAACTTGTATATGAAAGATGTTGGCAATCAACAAATAAAAGCAAAGAAGTGAAACTTGTCCTGCGTGGTTGAGGATTAAGTGGGAGGTTTTAAGGCATTTTTGTGTTTATGATGGTGAATATTTGATTTAGTGAAAAGGTTGACCAAAAATAGCGAAGCAGATGCAACTTGCAAGTGTAGACTGTATATAAATATAACACGGGCGTGCTAAAGGGGTTGGGTCATATTGGGCTCAAACGGGCAAGGTTGTGAGCCGGGCTTGGATTCTAAACTCTTGGTCTTAGCCTTCGTCAACAAAAGATTGGGTTGGGTCGGCCAACCCAATGCTACATGTCGGGCTGAGCCGAAGTTCATGCTCGAATTGACCCTCTTAAAATTGTGTTGAATTGCAATTTTGTATGACATCTTTAAAACCTGACAATTTCATACAAAACTTTCGATTTCATTTCAATGTCAATAAAACTTTCAATTTCATTGCAATAGGGTAGTCCAGATAGGTGATAGAGTGAGTCCTGCGATACCAAGTAGGAAGAACAATAGAGATACTGACGAGAAAATTGACGAATGTATGAAATTGCAATGCAATCGTAAGTTTTTATATGAGATTGTAAGGTTTAAAGATGTTGGATGGAGTTGCAATTAGTTCCAAGTTTTAAGTTTTTTAAACGTCCAAATTGAGAGATTTTTCCAGGTTTAAGCTTTTATACGTCAAAACTAAGTCAGAAGATAGGCCATGTGGTAAAAAAATTAGGATTAAACCCCTGTGATAAAGTCCTTTAGGATTTAGATTCAAAATTAAAATTTCTATCAACTCTCTATTAATTGTTAGCACTTGAGTCACACATATGATTCCAAAACAGACTCTTCGTTAATTGTTAGCACGTGAGGCTTACATGTGAGGCTAATTTTATATTTTTAGCCTCACATGTGAGGCTTATGTGCAAACAATTGACAAAGTTGACGAAACTTTTAATTTTGGACTTGAACCCTAATAGACTTTACCACAAAGATTTAGATCCTAATTCTTTTACCACGTGGGTTATCTTCAGATTACCCTATTAACACATGGATTATTAATCCAATTAAGGCCTATATTTTTTTTGTATCTCTCCACTTATTTTATGACACGTGAAGTACCACTTAAACACTAGACACCAGTGGCGAAGCCACGTGAGGGCGAGGAGTGGCGGCCGCCACTCCCCTCGCCGGAAAAACAAGGCCGGAGCGCTGGCCAGCCCCTCCCCTCCTGCTGCTACTGCTCTTCATCCCCTTCGGTGCTGTCTAGTTCTGCTCTGCGTGCAGCAGAGCTGCGTTTAATTTTTTTTCAAAACGACTTCGTTTTGGTCTGGTAAAAAAATTTGAAAAAAGTAGAATGAAATGACGCCATTTCGTATAAGTTGGGGGAAAAAAAAAATATATATATATATATTATATAGGGGTACAGTGTGTCCCCCGTTCCATTCAGTCTCTCTCTCTGTGCTCTTTTTCAATCTCCAATCGGAGTAAAAGGTGCAGCAGCGCTGCCCCCCAATTCCCAGCAGAAAAATCCAAGCAGTCAGCACCCATCAGGCCACCGTTTGGCCTTTTGCTACTACGCCAGCCGTCTCCAGCAGCCATTCTCCAGCCGCCTGCTTCCAGCCTTCAAAGCCACTCTTTAGGTTAATTTTTAATCCCTAAATTTATAATCCTAATCCCAATTAATTATTTAATACGAATTTTGTTTAATTGGTATAGAATCATATGGTGATGCACTAATATGATTATTGATATGATTCTATAATTATTGGTAGGAAATTATGAAATTATTTTTAGGATGAAAATTAAAATTTGAATTCTTGATTATTGATTAATTAATTGAATTATTACATAATGTATATTCATATGATTAGTTGACTTGAATATTTATTTATTGAATAATTTGTATGCTTATTGGTATTGATTAATTGAATTGTTGGTTGGATTAGTTATTATGCATATTAGTATAGTCTACTCTAGGATTAAGAGTCTAAGAATTTTTTTTCTTTCCATTTTACAGTTACATAATGAAATGATACTATAAGAAACAATGTTTAAATCCTCATTCAAACATTTCGGGTGGTCCTTCTTCTTCAAATATTTCGAGTAGTCCTGGCTTCGTCACTGCTAGACACTTGTAAAAGTTTCAAGTCAAAAGTATAGCTTCATGTCTCAAAAAGAGAGGAACCTAACAAATTTTAATTTGCTTGGATATCATAAAAATCTCTAAAGTCATAAAAATCCCTAACGTAATCATATATGTTCTTCGCGTCTCACTTTTCTTTGAACTTACAGGAGTTTGGTAATAATTTTATTTTTTGTTTCCCTGAATTGTCATCGGAGTGAAAATTAGGTCTCTAAATTATTTTTCAAAAAAATCAGTCATTCAATTATAAAAATCTACCAATAACAACCATAATATTATATTCGAAACTACTATATCCAATTTTCCATCAATTTAAGTCACATTACTTGCATGATACATATTGGATGGTAGATTGATAATTTTTCATAAAGAAATAGTGTATGGAGTTAACTTTTGAGGCTAAATTAGACGTTTGATTGCCAACCTATATGAAATGTTAATGGCTTCTTGGGGAGAAAATGACGATATTACACTCTAAACTGTGTCTAGTGACTTAAGTTGACAAAAAATTGGATAAAATAGCTTTGAATATAAATAGTAGGGATGAAATTAGCAACTTTTAATGAATTTAGGGACTTATTTTATTGAAAAATAAATTCAAGGACCTAATTTTCACTGATGTTGTAATTCAGGGACTAAATCAACACTTCACCCTTAAAATCAAGTTTCAAGGGCATAACTAAAAATAAGCCTTCAATATATATAGTTATATACACAGTCTCATTTTACCAAGGAGTCTTTCAAATAAGGATATTTTATGGATCCTATTTCGGATGTTATTTTAATTATTCAAACCATCTATTTCTTTAATTATTTATACAAAGATCATTTTGAAAACAAATTTGAGACTTAAAAAAAAAAGAAAAAAGAAAAAAAACACACGTAGTCGTATCCAAAATAATAAATTAACACGATATTTAAAAAAAAAATGCTAAAATGACAGAGTGATTTCAGATTTGAAATACAATGCAAAGTAGGTCCTACAATAGTGTCACTTAGTTGAAACGAAATAAGGTTATTTGTATCATTTCTCATACTAACTAAAACTGTTTGAGGGTACCTCTCAAATAATGTTATTTGCTCCATCCCTCAAGCTAGACGGCTAGTGAAGGGATAAGTGGGATTCTCTCCCCTCAAATCTTCTCTCTTCCTTTTTCACTTTTTTTTTTGTCTTTGTCTTTTTATAAAGAAGACAACACAAGATGTTGACATGGTTTACTCTTGAGCGTTCAAATAAAAGAGGATTGGAAGAAAAAGAAAATGAGAGAGGAGAGGATTTGGAACCCTTTGTTAGATCAAAGATAATCCAATGTCCGAACACTTCTTACATATGAAAAAGAAAAGATTTCATGCTGATGACGAGAAAAAGTTGCACCGACAGGTATACCAAATTTCTATACAAGAGACATATTCTATGATATGATATATATGTCATAATCAAAAAAATTAAAGTCACGAAACATCCGGAAAAGGAAGATACAACAAAAGAATAACAAGTATTCAAGTTATGGTTGTTGACATAGAATTGGAATTTTGCTTGCTTCCAACCTATGGACATTACAAAACTCTTTTCCCTGCTGATTATAGTTGGTCAAAGAAAAGATGGATAATATAGTTTCAAAAAGCAAAAAAGAAAAGGAACAAACCCGACCAAGAACAAGGACATGAAAGAATGCTTTTGATTTAATAGACTTGCAACAAAAAATGTTGGTATAACTTCTAGTCTTCAGTTGGTTCATTGTAGGAAAGACATATTGGGGTAAGTACAAGAGAGATTATAATTTAGATCTGTAGTTGTTGTTTGTGAGATTTGAACTAATGAAAAATCGAATGTTACTAAATCAACTTAGATCTGTAACTATTGTATGTGAGATTTAAATTCATTAAAATCGAGTGCTACTAGATTAAATGATCGTTTTAATTTATGATAATCATGTTAGAGAGATAGCATTCATTACTTGCATCCAAATTCTGATCTCTTTTGTTTAAGGGTAGTGCTCTCCACACACCAATTTTTACCTCTCACACTCCTTTCCTAATTTCCAACCGTCAGATCAAAAGAATTGAAGAAGATTAATTTCCAACCTCTTACACTATTTCTTTATGAAAAACTACTAATGTATTCTCTAAAGTTAACTTCATACACTATTTCTTTAAGGAAAAACTACCAATCTAACCTCTACAGTGTATCGTATGCAAGTAATGTGAATTAAATTGACGAAAAATTGAATATAGTAGCTTCGAATATAAAATTAGGGATGTAGTTGGCAGATTTTTATAATTTAATGACTTATTGTTTTGAAAAAAAATAGTTTAGCGACCTGATTTTCTCTGAAGTAATAATTCATGAACTAAATTAGCAGTTCATCTTGTTTAAATACATATGTGACCACTTTACCATTCCTTATGTGATGGTACAATCCAGAGGATAGAAAAAGAAATGAGAAAGAAAAAAAAAAGAATAAGTGCTTCTTGTCCCAAACAATATGTTGTCCTTGAGTGCCGACCATATGGTCGCCGCATGCATTTCTCTGTTTCCGAACGTTATCATGACGCACTATTGTTTGTATGTTTCACATTGTTGCTATTTTGCCACAAGATGCTCAAACGTCAAATATATGTTGCGGGGAAGTGGTTGATGGGGAAAATTACTACGTGACACTGTGAATATACTTTGGCGTTGTATAACTAGTATCACGCAATAATCCTTTCAGATGAGTCGGATAAGGTACTTGTTTGATTGCTCAAATATATGTTGCTTGAACTATGATAATGTGGTATAACTAATTTGTTTCGAAAGATCTAATATAAAAGTTTGATGCGTGTAGGTTGAATCTAGTAACTTTGATTCTCCAATAACATGTTCAATGCATGCTTTGCATGGTGATCGTTAAAAAAATGCCTACAAACATATATAACACACAATCTTTAGCCGTTAGATCAACATAAAGTGCGTATGATATATAAACATTATACGAACTATCAAATTCAGATTAATATAAAATTATGTTGCTTTAAAAGCTTAGAAAATGTTTGTATGTCATACATGGTCGTGTCACATAATTTTTCTACAAAGAGTCAAACAATATTTGAAATATGGTGGTTGATATGTGTGTGTGTGTGTGTGTCATAGTGCTCAAAACTGAAAGTCAGTGCTCAAAACTGAAAGTCAGAAGAAGTAAAGTGGTGGATATGTGGGGCTGCGAAATGGTTCAGTCTGCTTCACATGATCGAGAGGTTACAATAGCAATAGAATGTTGGCAGTGCACGACCATGTTGTGTCGCATTTGTTATTGACATCGAAAGTGTAAACAATAAGATAACCTTACTCAAAGTTGACAGAAGTTGCAGGATTTCAAACTTGATAATTAATTTAGAAGGACATAAGAAAGAGACTTTGATTCATATCCCTTAAAAAGATAATAGCGTTTTGCATTTACATATGAGATATTAAACTTGATTATTGATTAACGATCAATTATTTAGTTAAAAATAATAATCATACAAATTACACAAACACGCAAGCCTGGAAACTTGTAATTTGGTAGAGAATATATAACATAAAAAGAGAACTGATTTAATTAATTTAGGGTTCAGGAGTAGTTCACGCTGGCAACCGAGAGGATGGTGATGGTGATGTTGGAGAAGGCCAGAGCTGGGATTTCCTCACCTTGGATACACTTGAGAGCACACCTAATGGGGTGACATCCCCCACCACTGTGACTCTCTTTGTTTGGAAATCTATGCTAAATGAAGTCACTCCTGCAGAAATTCAGCAATTAACCACTATAATTTTTTTTTTTTAAATTTTCAAAACCATAAAAAGTTATAGCTTTTAAATATAGCATAGTATTACATAAGTATCATATATTATTTCAATTTTTCATCCCAATTGATGTTGCATATAGCATTTACACGCATAAATAAGAAAGATTTGAATTGTCAATAAATAAAAATAAACTGTACAAACTACAAATCATAACATATTAATATTTCTAACAAGAGAATATTATTTTGCATCTCGCTACAAACAACGCATAATACGAAAACATAAACTTTTTTTTTTTTAATCCTTACAAAGAAATATATACAAATGTAATTATTTAAATAATACAAATTTATACGAAATTTTAAGTAGTTTTTCTTTCTCCATATACTATTTAACTATACCTTCCATTTTAGAGAGGTGTTTTCTCACTTTTCCTTCACAACCCTTGCAATGCAGTGACACCCTCAAAACAACAACCTACAATAGTTGAACAACTTCAGATGCATGCCTTCAATTGTCCAATAGCAAAAACTAAAAGAAATAAAAGAATTTAAACTGAAAATTAGGTTACCTGGTGACGAGAACTAGTAGAAGAAGACTTCAAAACGGTACTACAATGACCATTTGAGCTCATCGACCTTCTAGGCTTAGAGGGTACTTGAGGAGGAACATTTGAGCTCGTCGAGACTCTAGGCTTAGAAGGTACTTGAGGAGGAACATTTGAGCTCATCGAGTCTTTAGGCTTAGAGGGTACTTGAGGAGGAACAAATGCAGCTGCAGAGACATTCTTACAATCGGGCTCCGTTATCCTGTCAATGAAGGGCGAGTCACTTGAGAGGAACCGAGAAGAAGAAGAAGAGCCATTGGTACTCTTAGTCCTTGTTAAGTCATGTATCTCAGCAGAGCTTTTTGTACGTAGCTGCCTTTGTGCACTAGAAAAACTCTTTCTACATATTTCGTAAAATGGTTTGGGATCAATAGGTAACTGAGATGAGCAGGGGGCATGGTGAGTTTGATGATGAGGTTGGTTTTTCCGTTGATCGTGATCACGAAGACGATGATAAGGACCATGATCAAGGGGTCTGGGGCCTCGGCGGACCAAGGCATCCAGGCTAGAGCAAATGGCTGTGGAAGCTGAAGATGCACAGAAAATATCCATTCCTTTCATGGCTAATTGGAGAATAATTTGAATAAAATGTGGTAGCTTTTGTTTGGTGAAGACTTGGGAGAAGTAGAAGAGTGATACAAGGATCGATTTTCTTAAAATGAGGCCAACTAGTCTGCTTTTAAAGTAAGTTGGTGGATGAGAATACAGAGAGAGAAAAAAGATGTACTAATCGTTCCCCACATCATGGATAGATTTTTAATTGTGTTAGGTACGGAGTACGTCACATGTTATCATATAATTAGTAGAAATTTTTTTCTCAGTGTATCTAATTGTATAATTCCATGTGTTGTACCACCTTATATTTCAGGCATACTGTACCATCCCGTATTCCAGGCATACTAAAAAATCTCTCCACATCATTAAATAGAAGGAAAATATGTTCTTTTGCAATCAATGCACTATTTTAGAAATCATCCGTCTAATAAACTTTTATCGCGTGTTTAAAAGTAAATCATCCATCTAATAGACGTTTGATACATTATCAATGGGTGAAAAAAGAAAATGACTCGGAAATGCTAGAGAAGATGATGGTACTTTAGAAAATGAGAAGATATGTGATTAATCTAGTCGTCAAAGTTTAAAGTTGTGAAATTTTTTATTGGAAATATTATTTTCCGTTTTAATTGAAAGGTGCAATTTGATTAAAGTTGCGTTAATCTTTATGTGGTATGATTACAACCACTACTCGTACCATGAGCTAGCTCAGCTATTTCTGTAAAGTAGCATGCAGCTAGTTCTATTATTGGTACATCATTGTTTCTTTTATTTACTTTTATGTTTTCTATCATTCATTTTTTAAGAACAAATGTTTAACATTTGACTCTTGCTATATATTGCATTAATAAGCCTATGGTTGGCGTTAGTTGGGTGCGAATCACATTTGGTTTTCTCATATATATATATGTGTGTGTGTACACACACACATACATACATACATACATATGATGAGACGTATATATATTCTATATGCTATTTTTGACACACGTTGTAATGTATTTCAACAATCTGAATCATCTATATTTTAGATATACCCTCAAAGATTATGATTACCAAAAATCACCTAAATCTGAAACTATATGACGGTTAAATTTAGGGTTTAGAGTTTTCTATGTAGAACCGTATTCTTCAATTTTCTTCATTACAAATGTATGTCTTCATGGTTTGGATTTGTCTAGTTTTTTGGAATGATAATCTATAAATGATGTTCTAAAAGATAAACGGTTTAAAGCGTTACAAAACATTAATGGGCTTCACAAAAACATGTGTCAAAAGTTGTGTTAAAAAAATGGAGATTTTGGATGCGGTCCCTATTTATCAATATTTTTTTACTAAAACCTTATTGGTTTTCAATTTTTGATCTAAATCCCTGAAATTAATGTGATAATTAATTTCTATTTATGTTACTATATTTTTTAAATTAAAAATTGAAATTTATAGTTGTTTATGTTAATGAGATTTTAAATAAAAACCCATAATTTGTGGGATTAAAAATATTAAAATATAAATTATATTAGTGTGTGTGTGTGTGTGTATAAACATGGGTACATTCATCAAAATTAACAAAAAATTATTGTACCAAAACATAGGTACATTCTTCAAAACCACACAAAAAAATAATATATATTAATAACATTAGTAAATTTCTTCGATCAAACTTGACATGGATACATTTTCAAAATCAAAGAAAAAGAATGTATCCATATAAGTTTAAAAATGGATTAGAAAAAAATTGAATAGATTTTATATAGAAAAAAAGGTACATATTTTTTGCTAGCAAAAAATGATACATTTTACGTATAACAAATTGGTATATTTAAGAATGGGAACATTTTAAGATTAATTTTTTTTTTAAATTACATGAATGGGTACATATGTTAGATCCCACATTAACCAACGGAGAGGGGGTGATGTGCCTTATATGTACATGCTCCCCTCCCTATAGCACGAGGCCTTTTGGGAACTCACTGGCTTCGGATTCCATCGGAACTCCAAAGTTAAGCGAGTATGGCAGAGAGCAATCCCATGATGGGTGACCCCACTGGGAAGTTCTCGTGTGAGTTCCTAGAAACAAAATCGTGAGGGCGTGGCCGGAGCCCAAAGCGGACAATATCGTTCTTCGACTAAGTCGAGACTGGGATGTGACAAAATTGTATCAGAACCACTCTGTTGTTCAGTGCGAGTGTGTCGACGAGGATGTCGGGCTACCAAGGGGGATGGATTGTTAGATCTCACATCGACCAACATAAAGGGGGTGATGTGCCTTATATGTACATGCTCCATTCTCTATAGCACGAGGCCTTTTGGGAACTCACTAGCTTTGGATTCCATCGGAACTCCGAAGTTAAGCGAGTTTGGGCGAAAGCAGTCTCAAGATGGGTGACCCCACTGAGAAGTTCTCGTGTGAGTTTCTAGAAACTGGGATGTGACAACATATAAGATTAATAAATTGAAAACATTTTTTAAAAAGACTAATGGGTACAAACTTATTCTAATTTTTTATTTATTTTGGAAATGTTTTGGATTAAAAATTAGTTAGAAGTTTAATAAAGGTGTGAGTATTAAATCCTAAATCAATTATTAATTTTTATTTTAAAAAATCATGTAACTGACATGTAAATTCATTATTATATTAATGCTAGGGACTTGGATGAAAATCTAAAAACTAATAAGGTTTCAGTCAATAAACATTAGTAACTAGGGACCGGATACTAATTTTTCCGAGATTTTGGATGCGGTCCTTATTTATCAATATTCTTTGACTAAAACCAATTTTTGATTTAAGTCCCTGAAATTAATATGATAATTAAATTCTATTTATGTTACTATATTTTTTAAATTAAAAATTGGAATTTATAGTTGTTTATGTTAATGATATTTTAAATAAAAACCCATAATTTGTGGGATTAAACATAGAGCTTCACAACGTAGAACAAATTGTTAGAATACAAACATAGAGCTTCACAATCACATTACTTGGATACATTCTTTTTCATTGATTTTGAAAATGTATCCATATCAAGTTTTATCGGAGAAATTTACTAATGTTATTAATCCTAATATCTATTATTTTTTTGTGTGGTTTTGAAGAATGTACCCATGTTTTGGTACAATAATTTTTTTGTTAATTTTGATGAATGTACCTATCCCATGTTTACACACACACACACACACACACAATAGTATAATTTATATTTTAATATTTTTAATCCCACAAATTATGGGTTTTTATTTAATATCTCATTAACATAAACAACTATAAATTCCAATTTTTAATTTAAAAAATATAGTAACATAAATAGAATTTAATTATCACATTAATTTCAGGGACTTAGATAAAAAATTGAAAACCAACAAGGTTTTAGTTAAAGAATATTGATAAATAAGAACAGCATCTAAAATCTCTCTTAATTTTTTTTTAAAAGAAAATTACTCGACACTTCTTTTCCAAGGTAGGTGTTATGCTAATCGAACATTAGTAGCCTTAAGCATCATTGGACTAGATCTCTAAATTTGTATGCATCGATCTTTTTTTTTTTTTTTTTTTTTAACTTGATATAACAAGACATTGAAACAAAAAAACAAGATTGAAAGGCTGTAAACTTATGTCCACTTCTTACAATCATGAACTTCAAAATAATTATATTCTTTGGAGTTTAAAATGCTACCCTAATCCCGGAATAAGCGACAAGGCAATGGTCAATAATGGTTGAATTAATGGTGCCAAATTCGTGTAACTGGAAGAAGGTGGCAGTGGGTTAAAGAATGATAATCTAACCGCTTAAAACACACTTATAATTTTGCATATTAAATCATTAACATTGGATCTACCTGCATGTGATCCTCAGCTCAAAAGAATCTTTCTTATTATTTCAAAAGAATCTTTCTTATTACATCCTTTAATTTGTTGGTTTATATTCACCATAACTCAATCTATAAGAGCAACTTCACCTGTTACCCCTCTGTAAGGGATAGGAGGCCTAGGCAATCAATTTTCATTGCATGAAAGTAACTGCTTTAGTGCAACTTTACCCGTTCAAACGTTGTCGAGGTAGTTATTATTCACTTATTATTATTATTATTATAAAGTAATGTATAATTAGATTTTTTTTAACAAACGATATTATCTACATAAATGAGAAAGGGGTGGACTTAACCTCACAATGGGCTAGCAAGAATGACCTGGGAAGCTGTCTGGGCTCCGTGGGCTCCACCACTCGCCGGGGCACCAGTTGTAATGGACTTTACCAAAAATATTTTTACATTTTTTACATTTGTATTCAAGTAAAAATATTTTTACTTTTACATTTTTTTTATTAATTTTTTTTTTATTTTTAATTAATTTTATAATGTGGCTGACGTCAGCCTTGCATCAACTTGCCCTAAGGCACTTGGGCCTACGATTCGAGCTCGTCCTTTCACTCGGGCCCCCCTCAGCCCAATCACCCGCATGGGCTAGAGTAAGAAGGGGAGGCAATTTGATTGAAAACCTCCCCGGTCCACCAGGCTATCCACAACGGTGGAGCTGCTCTAAGGATTGGCCAATCAACTCTTCAAGAAATCATCCTAATAAAAAGGTATGTTGTTAGCATTCCTCAAATATAAATTCAATTTTGCTGCAGTTTACTATACAGCATTGCATATAAGTGCTTGCTGATCACATAGAATGTTTGATCCTAATTCAATTTAGCTGGTACTATTTGTTATTTAATTGTGAGGCACTTTGTCATGATTACGCATGGAAAATGGGCTAAATGGCTGGCTTGTGTTCCATAAAACAGTGCATTTTGCGCCCCCAATCCTCTGGCGACATCTTTTTGTAGATGGAGATGCAAAAGTTGTAAACCACAAGTACGACCAACGCTGCCTTCTGATTAGCTGGGAATTGCAAAGATGAATTTCCTTCTAATTAGTTTCTATGGAAAGCTTACAGGAAAAGAAGGCTTTGACAGGCTAGCCAAATGACGAGCTGTCTTGATTTTGTGAACATAGAAGAGGAAGAGTTTTGAATCCGGGATGTATGCGTGAAAACCCTAACACCTTATCCATTAGAATATTAAACCACATGCAAAAGAAGA